ATTTTTAAGAAGGAACACTTTAAAAATTAGTAGTAACAATTGAAGCTTCTAGATTTAAGAAAATGGAAATCAATTAGCAGAAAAACAAGTGGCTTTGCTTCTATAAATTACTCTGAAAACAATTTTGTAGCCATCTTTAAAATCCGAAGATCTCTATTTCTCTAAACACTTAGACAAGTTGTCTCATGTAATTAATCTGCTTTGTAAAAATTATTGGTCCACTGACAGGTTGAACACCAAGAACGAAAGAATTAAGGATATTTATAATTTGAAATTCTAGCCATGAAATGCCTTGGCTGAATTTTTCCAGAAACATCAAAAGACATTAACGTAGACTCCCATAATTTTTATATTTGATAACTCAAGATGAAACCATTATGATTTAGAAAACTTAAGGTAAAATAATTATAAGGATAAACTTCCATAAAATGTTTCAACAGTGAAGAAGAGTATTTTCACTTATGTAAAAAAAGAGTTTATGATAATTTACATGATAAGTACTTCTTACAGATCAATTAAAACATTTGGTTCCCTAAGGACTTTCAACAGGCCTGAAGTTACAGAATGCACCTGAAAGGAATATAATAGAGATGATTTAATGTCTGGGGCATTTCCATTGGTTTTCCTAATTTAAAGAAGTAAGGACTTGGAATTTGTATGGACAATACTAAAAGATGAGATTTGAATGGTTTCTATTTGCTAGGCACTGGACTAAAGGGCCTCATAGATAATATAAATTGTATTTTTACAACAACTTTATTAAATATTATTGTTACTGTCACCCATTTTACAGACAACTGGAATATTGAGAGTTTGCCGGAGGTCACACTCAATGTGCGTGAAGAAAGGATGGAAATCCCCACCTGAATGACTGGAGCTCATCACTTACTGAGTAACACACTTTACAGTAAAATAATTTAGAAATGCCTCATGTAACTTTTACAACAGTGCTATATTCTTTTTGATAATGACTTAGAAATGAATCATTAATATTAATAATATTTGATTTAGTAATCTCATTTATGAATCAACTTTTTGCTGTGAAAAACAAAATCACATAAATTAAAAGGCTGAAAGAATAGTACATGAATCACCTGTGTCCTCACCACCTAGATTTGCAGCTGTTAACATTGTGCCATCTTTGCTCTCTCTCTACCTTCAATCTATCTATTTTTCTATGTGTATAAATAGATTTTATAACTTTTGAAAGTAAGCTGCAGATATCATCAAACTTCAGCCTCAATACTTTAGTATATATATCCTAAAAATAAGAACAAGTTCCTAAATAACTATAGTATCGTTATCACACATAAGAAAAATGAACTATAATCCCATAATGTCATCTAATATCTATTTCATATTCAAACATCACCTATTTTTCAAAAATGTCTTTATCTTTTTTTTTTTTTCTTTTCAAACCAGGATCCATAAAAACCCACACACTGCTTTGGGCTATTATGTTTCTCTGGTCTCTTATTCTACAACAATCCTCCCACCTTACCCCCATTATTATATTAATTTTTTGAAGAAACCAGGACAATTGTTTTATTGGATGCCCCTCATTCTGAATTTGTCATAGTGATTTTATTTCTGGTAATCTACTATAGAAAATAAATAACAGTGGGGTCGGGGGGACTAAGTACAAAGAACTTTATTACAGCCATGTGTCTGTAAAAAAAAAAAAATGGGCCTCTTGTAGAATAACATAAAAACATACAGCAGCAGTACTCAAATGTGGTCTGGGAACCCAGGATTCTCCAAGACCCTTGCAAGAGGGTTCTCAAAGTGAAAACAAATAGTCTAAGTTGCAATTTTCCTTTTTCATTGCTCTTCTTTCGCATGTGCACCATCGAATTCTCCAGAGGCTATATGATGACATCATTATTTTGATGGTTAATAGATGTGTGATTTTATGATCTTGTGTTTTCTAGAATTTTTTTAAGGTAGTAGTAGGTNCATTCTTTAGGGCACAGTTTGATTGATGATGATATATTCAGACCTGCAAGCATTTACTCAACTATGTGGGAAGCTTCCTACTCTCCTAGCCCCATCCCAGCGAGATCTGGTACTCCTACTATGAACTCTCTTATCCCTTACTATAACTGTAACTAGATAATTGGATATATGTTATTGGGTAGCTTCCCTGCTAGAATTAAAACTCCATAAAAATAGAAACAGTGTCTGTCTTGTTCAGCCCCTATATTTTCAGTGGTTTGCAAATAACAGCTCAATAATAAGTTTTAAATAAAGTTATGAAAGTGTGGATGTGAGAATGCTTCCTAGGACAGTTATAAAGATATCAAACAGGGTAAAGAGCCAGACGATCATAATAGACACTGGAAAATGTTAATTTTGTTCTTCTCATCCTCTTCTCTTATTTTTCCTCTTTGACCAGCAAATGAAAAAATACTGAATGATACTGAGTATACAAACAAACGAAACTTCTTTTATATGTGAAATAGTAATGACTTTAAAAGATAGGCATCAATATATAACTCTTGAAATTTCCACTGGAAAATCTAACTGGAATGTGGACCTAAATTCTCATTTAATCATACCTCAATGCTTGG